AGTACAAGTTTTCTCCAACTCAGTAATCCCCCTGGAATGTAATGCACTTTCCCTGCCTTCTCAGCCATGCCTTCATGCCCTCTAAGGAAAGATTCTTCAAGAATCCGCTGGAGTTCTGTTACCCACGTCTTCAAAAACCGCTTCCCTAGAAGACCCCCTTGAGCTTTTGAAAGAGGAAACCAACAGACGGACCAAGGTCGGGTGATTAGGGAGGTCGCTCCGTGGTGCTGCCCTTTCTCAATCAGGAACTCTCCAATGATCAGGACATTTTGAGCAGCCGTGAGTTGTCCTACCACAACAGTCACCTCTTCTCGCACACTGAACAAACACCTTAGGATCTTTTTATAGATGTGTCGATGATCGTCTTGCCATGGAGGGGAAAACTCATGTAGTTTGGGTTTAAAATATATCTTTTGTGACACTAGTCCGAGAACATCTCTGACACATTTGGTGTTCTGTTTTCCAATCCACTGTCTGTTATGCATTTTTCAATGGACATAACATGACAAGAACCCCTGACGGCGAGCAAAAAGAATTACACATCAGTAATTTATAATTACGACAAAAGGAGAAACCATGCATGCAACTTTAAAATCCATTGGATACATCAAATACACTTATAATTGTAAATCTATCTATCTGGAGTTAAGTGGCATTCATCATCTGGTTTCTCATGGAATTGTTCACAATATAACGCTCATCAGCATGGGATGTGGGCAAAGGACGTCCACTTCTACATCTTTCTGTGACTCTTCCAGTTTCTCAGTATTTCTGTTGCAACCTGCTGATTACACTCTGTGGCACTCGAAGCTCAGTGACCACTTCCGTCTGAGAAAATCCTGTTTGAGGAATCACATTGGCAAGGTACTGTTGATCCATTGTCAGGTGTTGTCTTGGTCTCATGATATCAAATTTAAACGGCATGATGAGGATGACTGCTTAAACACCAGCTCGAATTGAATCAGGACATTTATTGGTCGATCAAGGATCAAACGCCTGTTGTGAATTTTGTCGTTGAGTTCCTCATTAGAGAACAGCAACATGTGCAAAAAGTACTGAAACATTTAACAGTTGATCATGTGCATTCAAAGACTTTAGAGAAGGTCATATTAAGTTCATTTGTAAAGGTATGAATGCATTTTAGGCTGGCCCTGAAATTTCAGCTGAAAGCCAAATATCCCTAACTTTTTGTGAGCAGTGTAATTTATTTGACTCCAGCTCATGACAGTCAATGACAATGTCAGGATGGTGAACAGACAAATCGACAACTGGGTTTTGGTTCACAATTGTACAAGAGAGATCTGCTGCTCCCTAGTGTAAAAGCGTAGAATTACACCACCCGAGCCTTTGCTCAATTTTGTGGAAAAGGGCATCGTGGGGAACCCCAAAGTCAGTCCATCCATCCGTCCATCCATCCAAAGAAAAGGTTATGATAACCAAAGAACAGGAAGTGAAACTGAAGTTGAGTATCAACTGAATAGACCAGGGATGGGTAACTTCAATGTTGGAGGAGGGGTCCCTAATTTTTCATCTGTGACACTGTGGGGCAACATTGGATCATGCACTTTGTTCACCAGATGTGTGACTAAAATGGTGTTTAAAAAAGGACAAAATACATGCATATGTGCAAATTATTTTTTATTAATTGTTTCTGTTGCTGACTCTGTTCCTGTTAGTCTTTTTGAGTCTGCCATGGGTTTTTGTTTCTTACTTTGGATTCTTGTTTTCAGATCTTCGTTCTGGATTTAGTTTTCTTAGTGTTTGATTACCGGTAATACACTTTTTCAAGTTCACCCTGCTCCTGCCTGTCTTTTGGGGTCCTCCACCATCATGTTTGTGACACAACAAAATAACCACAGACTTTGTTTTTTTCCCCCCCCAGTGCAAAGAGCTCTCTTGCATATAAATTATCGTTCAAGAATGGCACAAAACCGCTGAACAAAAAACCAACATTAAGTGCAATGACTCCTGCAATTGGCTGGCATCCAGTTCAGGGTGTACCCCTCCAACTGCTCGAAGACAGCTGGGATAGATTTCAGCATGCCCGTGACCCTTGTGTGGATAAACTGATCAGAAAAGGAATGAATGGATGGATGGAAGGGCAAAAACTCATGAAAAAAATATTTGGCTTTTTCACGTTGTCGAATAGGGCAATATAAGAGCCAGTGTAAGATGTATGCCATCTAGTGGTGATTAGTGATATTTCAACTTGAAAATGATAGTCACCCCTGCATATTCGTAGTTTAGCACCCACGGATTCGTCATAATCATTGAATTTTTTTTCTCTCCCCCCCTCAATATTTTTTCAATATTTGGAATTCTTCCCAGTTTTCCTGGAATTTTCTTTCTCAATTTCCCCAAACCATGAAATTTTGATCAACCTTTTTTTGAAGAATTTGGGGGCGGGCTTCTAATATAATAAATAAAAGTCCAAGGTGTCTCCAAAGTGGCTGTATTTCATTTGAGCTGGATGATATTGTGGTTAACTTGCCTGTATGGTTAATAGAGACATTTAAAATGGTGACACAATCCACAGTGGGGAATTATGAGGCTAGGAAAAGACAATGAACAAGCACACTGGATAAGACAGAGAGGCCTGCTATTCAGCAGTAAGCACAAGTCACAGCGCACCTTATTAAAGGATGACAGTGTGATGGCACTCCCATCCCTCACATCAGTGTTAATTAGACGAGACATATTGGAGATGAAGAAATTATGCTATAGCTCCAACTCATCCATGACATGATGTCTGTGTTTCATAGCCCAGATAATTAAGAAAAAAACATCTCATTGCTTTGATCTTTTAAGTCATTTAAAAATCTATTTTTTTAAATGATCGAATCGAATGGAAAACTTTTTTTTTGTAAAACTGATAGAGCTAAGGCAGTCCAGTGGTTAGCGCGTCAACCTCACAGTGCAGAGGTACCGGGTTCAATTCCAGCTTCGGCCTCCCTGTGTGGAGTTCGCATGTTCTCCCCAGGCCTGCGTGGGTTTTCTCCGGGGACTCCGGTTTCCTCCCACATTCCAAAGACATGGATGGCAGGCTGATTGAACACTCTAAATTGTCCCTAGGTGTGAGTGTGAGAGCGAATGGTTGTTCGTCTCGGTGTGCCCTGCAATTGGCTGGTTCAGGTGTCCCCCGCCTACTGCCCAAAGACGGCTGGGATAGGCTCCAGCACCCCCCGCGACCCTTGTGAGGATAAAGCGGAACGGAAAATGGATAGATGGATGATATAGCTAAATCAAACACTGTCTCTCTCTCTCTCTCTCTCTCTCTCTCTCTCTCTCTCTCTCTCTCTCTCTCTCTCTCTCAGTCGTAATTGTGTGTTTTAAATTAAATGCGCTGCACTTTGGTGAGCTGTTGTTTGTCTGTCTTTTTTAAAATGTTTAATATGTCTGGATTGGGTGGCCCGGTGGTCCAGTGGTTAGCGTATCGACCTCACAGTGCAGAGGTCGTGGGTTCGATCCGGCCTTCCTGTGTGGAGTTTGCATGTTCTCCCCGTGCCTGCGTGGGTTTTCTCCGGGTACTCCGGTTGCCAGCCAATCGCAGGGCACACATAGATGAACAACCACTCGCACTCACAATCACACCTAGGGACAATTTAGAGTGTTCAATCAGCCTGACATGCATGTTTTTGGAATGTGGGAGGAAACATGACAGTGGGGAAATTTGTGACTCAAGAGCAACCAAGACTAACACAAAAGTTTCTGTCAGCTAAATAGGAAGGACCTAAACCACTCCAGGGCGCTGCAGCCAATGCGCATCAGGTGCTGCAAACGAGCCGACAGAACACTGTGATCCACTGTATCAAATGCTGCAGTTAAATCCAATAAAACCAGACACACATAGTCTCCAAAGTCATTTGCCAGGAGAATGTCATTAAGAACTCGTAACTGGGTTGACTGCTATACATCATCTTGAAACTTGACTGGAAGACCTCCAAGACGTTATGTTAATCCAAGAAAAATTTTAACTCCATGTGCACCACTTTTTCCAGAAATCTTGAAATGAAAGGCAGCTTGGAAATGGGCCTAAATTTTGACCGTATACCTTGATCAAGGCCAGGTTTTTTTGTGCAATGGTTGCACCACAGCTTGTTTAAACTGTTTGGGAACTATACCAGCAGACAGACTGCTGATGATAATGGCCAAGACCAATGTACCAATACTTGGGAGACCCTCCTTAAAGAAATGCGGAGGAAGCGAGTTACAAGGTGAGCCAGATGGGTTTGTCTGGTAAACCACCACCTCTAAAAACGTCAAGGACACATCTTCAAAAAAATTGAACATAACGGAACACGGAAGATGAACAGAGCGGTCAAATGCGGGATTTGAAACAAGAGTCCTAGCTGAAGAAATCTTATCAATGAAAAACTGAAGGAATCTGTTGCACATTTCGGGCGAAGAGTCTGAGCAAATAGGGTCAGGGGGTTTCAGTATAGAATCAATAGTTTTAAATAGTACATGTGGGTTTTAACGGTCAGCCTGAATCTGGTTTGATAAATCTTCTCTTTGCATGCATTGAAAGATGGTCAATCAAAAATGAAATACCTTAAGATGTATTATGCTAAATGAAATATATTAAGAGCATGTATTATGCATGCATGTTGCCCACATCTAAAATATAGGTTTCGGAAGTATCTGGTCTTATGTGGCACTGATGAAAAAATGGTGGCACTCTCCATAATTTAATTTGCCCCGTCCCTGCTATAGAAGTACAGTAACTGAGAAAAACCGTGCCCCTTTTCAAAAGTTAAAAAAAAAAAAAATCTACCAAAAGGAAGTTATAAAACATAAGAACAAATGTGTAGTTTTAGCACATTTTCCGCTCATGACAGACACATTTTATGTGGAAAATGTTTTCATTTATCATAAAGAACGTAAGTAGGATTTTATTAACCATCGATCGGACCTGATGCAGCACTTCCCCTCTTGCCCCCATACAAATTTGTCATTGTTGTGGGGTTTGGTTTCACTAGTTAAACATGGAGGGCATTTTTTTAAAGCTACACAGCCATTCTACTGGTGTAAATAACAGTCGTTAAAAAGTGACGCCCGTCTCGTTTATAGAAAACATGTTTATCAAATCTTGTCATCAACGAGAGGAAACTTAGTTGTGGCGTTTTTGACAAATTCGAGAATCGGAGGCAAAAGCTGGTCCGGCTCGATGAGTGGCGGGCGGTGGGAGCGGTCCGGGCTGGAGGTGGGCACCAGCAGTGACCGCTAGCTTGATGTCACACTTTAGCCTACGAGCCGAAGGGGGAACCTTCCACCGGGGTTAGGGGTAAGACGCCGACGTCGTGGTGACAGATGAAGAGTGACGGGCACTGCTGCTTGCGGACTTTGCTCTTTTTTTTGTCCGAAGCAGGAGAATATTTAATGAACATCAATTTCTTTTGTTTGGGGGGCGGATATATTTAAACGCGATTAGCGATTGCTACAGGGAAGCTAGCTAGCAAGCTAGCTAGCCAACTAACTGGTCGCCATCTCCCCTCTCGCTGTCGGGAGTGATTGGCCGTGTGTCTTCCGCTATGGGGAACGCTGCCACCGCCAAGAAGGGCAACGAGCTAGAGAGCGGTGAGTTCAGTCCGGCCGATGTTCGCCCTCGAGCGGCTGTCGTGGTTTGTTTCGTCCGTTAATCACGAACCCTGGATGTGGAGCTATTTAGCCGAGCCTGCTAGCCCGTGGCGGCAACTATGTAACTGTCCTGTTATGACCAAGTAAGAGTGGGCTATATGTCACTGTCACTTTTGCTTAATATAACACCTAAATCTGGGTTACGTGATATTTTAGCATTTGCTTCTGTTAGTGTGATTTATTTTGTTACCATAACCAAGCCAGCGACAAGAGGACAGTTGAACCACAACATAAATAACTCCGGTGAATGCAAGTAAAGAGAGAATAATGACAAAAATAATTACACCACGTGTCAAAATGTTGTTTGTACGTGAAACGTGGCGCTCGAAGAGAAACGTGTCATTTCAGCCCCCCTTGATAGTGTGAGGCCCGTCCTTCTCTGAATGTATGCACGTATGTGTGTATTGTCGCATCCTATTGGCATGTATCACTTCACACATGTATCACTTCATCTTCTCTATGTTGTAGATGGATTGGAACAGCAAAAGAAAAAAAAAAGTCACACGCCAGTAAATGTCAGAAAATAGCTATAAACTTTGAGGGTGAGGTTTGGTGGTTCTGCCCCCTGGGGGCTCCACAACCACATTTTTATTCTGGGCTACATAAACAAAGCTCAGTGCTCAGTACAGTGACCAAATATGGCCAAGAAAGTATGCCCTCTTTTTGCATTCATAAAAGTAGTGCTACTAGTGTCTCTCCCCCCAGTCCTCCCCACCTCCCCAATCTAGCATCAAGAAGGTTAAACATATGGCTGGCACAGAAGTGGTCATTGACCAGAGCAGGCTCGTCATCAGGCCTTCGTCAGAGGATAAGGAGCATTACAAGCTTTGAAAGCTTTGACGTAACTTGGTCGAGGTGGTTGGTGTGAGTGTGCTCGTATGCTCTCACGTGATCTACATCATCATCTTCATTCCCTAGACACGCGTGCGAAAATAAATTTTGTATGTTTTATTTGTGTTTGAGCTCAGATGAATTTTACAAGCATGATGACAGCTATTGCCTTATTCTATGGATGACTACAGTATTATTAAACAGTGGTAAAAATAGCATAGAATCAAGTTGAAATATTACAGTTTGTGTGACAACCCCCCCCAATAATTTACAAGGCTGTAAAAGAAGAAAGAAAAAAAACCTTTATTTGTCTCACAATGGAGAAATTCGCAATTTACAGCAGCAAAAATTATGAAGAAGAAAAAGTAGAAAAACAAAACAAATATTTGTATGCTCACAAAAAAATGAAAAAAACGTTTTAAAAGTGGACCGTACAGAGTGAAAAAAAAAAATATATATTTACAATCGGTAAGTCCAGGTTTTCACGCGTGTTTATTCAACAGCCTGACAGCAGTCGGCAGGAACGAAGAATAGTGTCGTTAAATTGGGACAATCAAGTTGGAATATTAAGTGTTAAGAACTATTATGCAAAAAATTTACTTGCAGATCATTTAAAGTTGACATTTTTAGAAGTTTAAATAAGATAAGTGTAAAGATATAATAATTTTATGAGAATTCAGGAAGGGCAAGTTAGATTACAAAAATGAGTGGTAAATAGAGTGCACTTGTTTATTGCTTTATCTCCACCATTTGGAGTTGAGATGTTGCTCAAACAGTTGTTATTAAAAATAAATAAATAAATGAAGACTACCAGAATCCAGTAAGGTATCATGAGAATAATATCTCAATGTTTTCTGATCCACATATCCTCACAAGGGTCAGGGGGTGTGCTGGAGCCTATCCCAGCTGTTTTAGGGGAGTAGGAGGGGGGCACCCTGGACTCGTCGCTAGCCAATCACAGGGCACAAATTGACAAACAACCATCCATGCTCACACTCACACCTAGGGACAATTTTGAGTGTTCCATTAACTTGCAGGCATGTTTTTGGAATGTGGGAGGAAAACCCATGCAAGCACGGGGACAACATGCAAACTCCACACAGGAAGGCCGGAGCCGAAATCGAACCCTGCACCTCTATACTGTGGGTCTGACGGGCTAACCAGTCGACCATCGGTCTTAATATTACAAGGAAAAAAAGTCACTTTGGTGGAGGGAAAGTCTGACATGTTAATTCCCTCATAATTTCATAAGAATACACAACTTGATTGATTGAAGAAAAATACAAATATTCAGGAGAATGAGGTTTCAATTTTCTGAGGAAAGAAATATAACATAAATACAGTTGTAAAATTGTGAGGAAAAGTAATACAGGTACAATAATTTAGTTGCAGTGTCACGAGAACAAATACAGTGATCCCTCGCTATTTCGCGGTTCGTTTATCGCAGCCTCGGTACATTGCGGATTTTTTTCAAACATATTCACAAAAAAAAAAAAAAACGAAAATGCAGCAAAAAGTCCACAAAAGGTCCACGAGAGGCAGTGAAAGTCAGCAAAACAACAGCAAGTCAGAGCAACATATACAGTACTACATACATGTGTTTGCTGTACTTCTTTATTCATACACTAACCTAACCGAACTTATACATGTTTAAATACATTAGTATATAGCATTAAGTAATGTTAAATACTGCAAACATGCATGTGTACCATTTGGCCTTATAAATATTATCGCTACTTCACGGATTTTCGTCTATCGCGGGTGGTTTCGGTCCCCATTAACCGCGATCAACGAGAGATTACTGTAGTCTGAATAATACAAGAAAACACTCATACAATGTCGCAATGATAAGATGACATTACAAAAACGGAGTCGCGTTATTCGGAGAAAAGTCCTATCACAAGAAAAAAGGTGCAATATTACAAAAATTGAGTCATGGCATAGTGAGAAAACGTAGCAGTGTGACAATTCAACTGTAATGTTACAAGACTAAAATTGTAGTTTAAGGAGAAAAACAAGTTTGAATGTCACAACGATTTAGTCATAATATTATAACTCAACTCAACTGTATTTATAGAGCACTTTCAAACAGCCATCGCTGCATACGAAGTGCTGTACATGAAGCAATTCAACATATACAACAAACAGTAAAGCAAATCAGTAATAAAGACGGTAGAAAGCACCGAACAGCAAAGCCAAGACAGTCACAATGTGAGAAAAAATGTTGGCAAATTATCTCAAGAATTATATTTTAGTATTATGAGATATAGTTGCAATATTACAAGAATTCATTCAAAACTATCAAGACCAAAGTCGGTGATAATTAAATTGCCATCTACAGATAAAATGTTGTAATAGTTTAATAAGTTGTGATGTTGAAAGAACGTGAGAATTAAGTCATAACGTTACAAGAAAAAGGTGGGCATTGTTGGAGAATGATGTCCTTATTTCACGAGCATAAATGTCGACCTTCTGTTGACATTATTCTTATACACTTGACCAGCGCTGACTTAAACATCAGTATGAGCAGTTAAACGTGAGATTTATGGAGACATTCACAACAGTTCACGTCTCTGGCAACGTTTGTTTCCTAATGGTGACACAAGCTCCTCGGCGGTTTAAAACCTTCTAAGCTGACACATTTGCGCGCTCTCGGATTTGTCTGGAGGGCAGCCGCTCTGACGAGGCAGCCTGGTTACCTACATTGCTGAATACACACAAGATTACCGTGTGCCTACGTAGCTTGAATACATGACACGGTCGCAGCGGATTACTACGTTGACATCATTATCGTCATCATCCAGTTACGGCAGAGGTGTTGAACTCATTTTTGGCACGGGCCACTTTGGAGTTACGTCTTCCTTTGGAGGGCCGTTACGACAGTGAATGTTTTCGTAATCATCTCATCTTGTTATTACTTAGAAACAACAAAAATTATGCATTATCGTATTTTCCGCACTAAAGGGCACACTGGATTATGAGCCGCACCTTCAATGAATGGCCTATTTAGTATTTTTTTTCATATATTGGACACGCTGGATTATAAGGCGCAATCTACAGTGCATCCACCAGATGAAGCTACGCTCCCTTCTGTTCGACTCGAGAGGCGTTCATGACCGCCTCCGAAAAACGTAAATTAACGATTACTTCAATGAAACTACGAAAATTGAAAACAATGCATCAAAACAGAAAATCAAGCGAGGAAATCACAAAATAAATTCTATAGCCCCCCTAGAGAATTTATTTTGGCATTTCCTTGAGCATAGCTCCAACAGAACAATCAGATGTCTTGTTGTCTGTTTAGGAGGGATGAAATTTCATCTGTGCTGTATGTGCAGCACATCTGACAATGAAGTTGTACTTGACTTGAAATGTCAGTAAAATGTAGGAGACTGGACTGTCTCATAAGTGTTTGCTATGTATTCCTTTGTTATGTACTGTATTCACAAACGAGGAAATCACCAAAAAAATTCTGTAGGGGGGCTATAGAATTTGGGAGCTTTTAAGTAAATGGATGACTTTTCGGTGCTCTTTGTGGTGCGGAAAATACCGTACTCGTTTTGTTAATCACCCAAGTCAACTGTTTGTTGGTTGCTCAATTATTGTTTGAGTGTAACCAAGGTAACAAAGTGATTGCAAAATGTCAATGTTATTTACTACACATCACAATTTGACACGCCTCTTGTTAAATCGTTCAAGTATCAATTCAATAAATAAATAAATAAACACCCAAGTGTGGATCATTGCCAAATTAACGGCCAGCCACTATAACTAGCACTATTTACTTTACAAAGGACGGCTTCTAATTCAACTCGGTCCCATTAATTAAGGCTCTCAATTTGGCAACGGATATTGTGAGCTTGTCTATTTTCAGTGATGCATGTGGAATTATAAATACTCTTGGTACTCCTGTTGAAAAAGGATGTACTGTATATGGATGCCTTAACTTGTACCTCTCACGGTTGCGAGATGCATTCAAATATCATCGGAATTTTCAAGCTCAAACAGAAAAGTAGTGTATTGATAGTGTATCCATCCTTCAATCTTGAGCAATGGTTCTTAACCTGGGTTCGATCAATCCCTCGGGGTTCGGTGAATCAGTCTCAAGGGTTCGACAAGGCCTCTGCCATGGAGGTTAAGACACACCCGACTCAACATTACCGGTAGTTACCACATGCCCGCTTGGCCATCACTGGCTGGTTCATTTTGTGCGCAATTAAAAAACGTATACTTTATACTTATACTATTTGTATTGACTTTTTTCAGTTTTTAATAAGTGCATTTGATTATATATTTTTAGTTTTCACTAATGAAAGGGTTTGGTGAATGTGCATATCAACTGGTTGGGTTCGGTACCTTTAACAAAGTTAAGAACCAGTGGTCTAGAGATTGGGATGCCAAACGTTCAATGAGATTAAATACTACCCAAAGGCTTAAATAATAACCAACAAATATTTTGGTGCCCTCAACTTTAAGTTATGGATATAAATATAAATATCAACCCTGCGTAAATTTTTTTTTCATTTGCTGTAAAGTGTTTAAAAATGTTCAAAATGTATTTCTGTTTTTTTTTTTTTTAGGCAAAGCATTCAATTAGTATTTTTATAATGTTTTGTTGAACTAATATAAATAAAACACATTTGAGCTTGTTTAGCTGGCAGCTATTATTTCACTGTTTTTTTGACTGCTTTAAGTTTTTACCATGGTATTGTTTCCTTCTTTTGTCTTCTTTTAAAGTTATCTAAAATTCATTTTAATGTATTTTTTTTACAAATCAGCAAGTTTTGACTGTCTTTGTCTTATTTTTCCCACCCCCCCTTCATTCTTCTCTAACATGCGTAGCTGGTCTCCTGCATTGGGTCAACTTTATTTTCATTGTTGCTGTCACACCACAGACTGTATGTTGTGTTTTTTTGTCTACATAAACTCTTGTCTTCTCTCTTTCTCTCTCTTCTGTAATATTTCCATCCATGTGTTGGTGGGTGATTGTTCCTGTGAAAAAAAACACCCTCGATGATCAATAGAGACATTTGGTATGCACAAAAAAAAAAAAATGAGCCTGCAAATATTGGCTACGGGCCTCATTGTGCGAAACTTGCTCGATGTGCTTGCTGTTGTGTGCTTTGATGAGACTAAGTGTTTTTGTTTTGTTTTTTTGTCACTCACAACTTCTATCTGGATATCTGCTCTTTTTGCCATACTTGGGTTTGTCTTCGCTTCCAATTCTGTGTTTTGTTAGCCTTCCCCTTGAAAAAAAATGATGCCCAGAGTGAAACTTTCTCCTTTGAATGTTGTTTTTTCCCCTTGACTTGAGATTATGATAGAAAATCTACTCATCTGGCATGCATCACTCATCTTGCCTGTCTGTTTTTGTTTCCTTGTGTTTGTGTCATGTAATTAATATCCAGATGAGAGTTGCCCTTACAACTTGACTTTGCTGTGTCCCTCTGATGTCCCTGCTTTACACGTTTTTAACATTCCTACCTAAAAAAAAGAAAAAAATTGTTTTCTAGCCTGTTATTCTTGAATGAACATATGCTAATTTGTGTGTGTCTGCGTGTGTGTGTGTGTCTGCGTGTGTGTGTGTCTGCGTGTCTGTGTGTGTGTGTGTGTTTTACCCTCCACAGTTACAGAGTTTCTAGCCAAAGCCAAAGAAGATTTCTTGCGGAAATGGGAATGCCCACCACAGGTCAGAATGCTTTTTAAGGTGGTATCTCACTGAGTGGCAAATGCTTGCATATACTGTATTTCCAAACGTAGCATGTATGTTGGATTTTCATCAGGTTTGTTAAAGCTGAAAAATTTCACAAGCCATTCACAGTTTTTCTTTCAACCAGGAGTGTCAAACTCATTTTTGTCGCGGGCTACTTTGGGGTTACGTCTTCTCTTGGGGGGCCGTTACGACAGAGAAACTAAATAAATGTTTATATATTATTACCTGTACACAACAATTTGATGGATTACTGATTTTGAAAGCAGTCAAATCAACGATAGTAGTTTGTTCAGTTATTGTTTGCGTGAGTGTGAACAGAGTAACAAAACTATTGCAAAATCTCAATGTTATTTATTACACATGACATTTTGGTACAGATTTTAGCAAGGTTCATGGAAGTTGACACACATGATTTGCTTTCGGGGGCCACATAAAATGATGTGGCGGGCTGGATCTGGCCCCCGGGCCTTGAGTTTGACACCCGTGCTTTAAACCATCAAACTTTGAACAGCATTCTCAATAAATAATACATTCCGGCAACATGCTAACATGCTGCTCTCTTCCTGCAGAGCACGACGTGCCTAGATGACTTTGACAGATTAAAAACTCTGGGCACCGGCTCGTTTGGGAGGGTCATGCTGGTGAAACACAAAGGAACAGAACATTACTTTGCCATGAAGATACTGGATAAGCAGAAGGTATGTTTTAAAAATATATGGTTCTATTTATACCACAGCTCTAAGTACCCACTTCTGATTGGCTGTGTTCACATAGACAGAACACATGAAGCGATACTCGTGTGCAGATCACCAAATCGCATATAAATAACTACGCAAGCATCCCACCAATTACAGCACAGAACTAAATAATAGCATTTCAATAATGCAAATATGAAATGTTGCTTATCATTGAGTCAGCGTCCGTTGACCCCTCCATTGATTTCAACGAGAGTGACCTATACATCATCCCTTTATGTCACTGCCCTTGCTCCTCATCGCTGAATATGAATCTCAGCGATGGGGTTCAGCCTCAAAACGCTAGCTTTTGGCTAACGTTGGACTCGTCCGCTAGCTTCCGATGTCCATGAGTGAGTGGTGACGTCTTGCACAGGCAGAAGAGCACTGCGTCTGTGACGTGTTGTCAAACACACTTTGCAATTCACAATCAGGTATTTTTGCACATTTTCAACCTGTCAGAGCAATCTGACACGACGAACCTAATGATGTACAGTGCAATGATTCCTGGAACAAAATATGTAAAATCCATAGGATTTCGCAGCACTGGTAATTATTTGTACCCGATGGCCTCCGTTGTGGCCAAAGTTTTCCAGTTTAACAGTAGATTTATTACTGTGAGAGGTGTTTCTTGGATTTTCATGCAAATATTCCAAAACTGACTCAGTCTCCATGACTTACTTTTTTTCTTCTTATGCATCAGGTGGTGAAACTTAAACAAATAGAACACACTTTAAACGAGAAGAGGATATTACAAGCCGTGAGCTTCCCCTTTCTCGTCAAACTGGAGTACGCCTTTAAGGTAAGGTAAACCCCTTTCGTTTCACTCATTGTTTTCGGCTTTCATACATGAGATAATAAAGTGATTGTTTACTCTTTTTAGGACAACTCCAATTTGTACATGGTGATGGAGTATGTTCCCGGAGGCGAGATGTTCTCACACTTAAGACGAATTGGAAGGTTCAGGTGAGGCCCTCAGGAATAAACACTCCTTCGTGTCTTTAATTTGCTTTGTTATGATCGGTGGTTAAGGAGGCATTGATTTATTTTTATTTTTTTCCTCTTCGCTCTGCTTCCTCTCTAGCGAGCCGCACGCGCGCTTCTACGCTGCCCAGATTGTGCTGACATTTGAATACCTCCATTCGCTAGATCTCATCTACAGAGATCTGAAACCTGAGAACCTTCTCATCGACCACCACGGCTACATTCAGGTGAGCGGCATCATTGTGTTACGGCGGCTCTTTTTGTGACCGCTATTTCCTCACGTGCCGCATTCAATTTCAAGGTGACGGACTTCGGATTTGCCAAGCGAGTAAAAGGCAGAACCTGGACGTTGTGCGGAACACCGGAGTACCTGGCCCCAGAAATCATTCTCAGCAAAGTATGCCATTTCAGCACATTCATCAAAATCTCCCATCTTTATTTGAACTCTCCATCCATTTTCTAAAGCACTTAACCTCATTTGGCTCACGGGTCAGCTGGGGTTTATGCCTGTACACCTTGGACTGGTCACCAGCATCACGACACTTACTGTAGAGACAAGCATGACTACAGTTTGAAAGTTGACTACGGCTCAAATATTTCTGCAACTTAAGAACCATTTTCAGAGAAAATAGCCACTATTAAGGGCATTCAACATTAGAAGCTCAGGTCCGTGTAACTCATCAGCATCTAGTATATTTGATTAGACTGCTTGGGTTACGTTTGAGTGGTAGAATTCTATTTCGTTTTATCCCTTCCCTTGAATCATTAGCTGTCTCTTTCAGGGCTACAACAAAGCTGTGGACTGGTGGGCCCTAGGAGTCCTCATTTATGAAATGGCGGCCGGCTACCCTCCGTTCTTTGCCGACCAGCCCATTCAGATCTACGAGAAGATCGTCTCTGGAAAGGTAGGAGCATGTGTCATCAAAGAGTATTAAAATTTAATATCTCAATAAATAATTTTGCCAGATATCTCGAGAACGATAATATAACGACATTACTATGGGTCCAGTGAAAACTAAGCATTTAAAAAAATATATACAGTATATACCAAATAATCAATCCAAGAGGATGTGGAAAGTGTAGGGTTCTTTTGTTTTTATGAGAGCAGCTATCAGCTTTTACAAAGTCAGCAATAAAAATAAAAAAAAGACAAAATTCACATTGTACTGCGATTGTGCAGTAATGATCAATTTAAAAAAAAATATATATATATATCTATAGATAGATATCTATAGATATATATAGATAAGTAACAGAAGTAACAGAAGTGGAGTGTGCGTGTGTACCAATTTATCAACCGTAGTAAGGCTGAGCGGTTCAGAAAGTGGATGGATACATTGAGTGGCATGCATTAGATGACAAGTGATGTGTGGACTCCCAGGGATGCCAGCCTGGAGGCTCCCCATATTATATGTTGGGTTGAATGACTTTTTATGAATCCACAAAAAGATGGTGGTAGTCAACGAAGACACGCATTGCGACTGAAATAGGTCGCAGCCCGTGCCTCTCCTTAGTTGAATAAACTGGTTTGTGTGTCATTTTGAAAAAGCCTAAACACTTTGTCCTATCTTCTCAGGTGCGCTTCCCCTCCCACTTCAGCTCGGACTTGAAGGATCTGCTTCGGAACCTGCTCCAAGTGGACCTGACCAAGCGCTTCGGTAACCTGAAAAACGGTGTCAATGACATCAAGGGCCACAAGTGGTTCGCCACAACGGATTGGATTGCGATCTACGAAAGGAAGGCAAGACTCTGTTTTCTGCCATGATAGCATTATTGCTGGCATGAAATGCATTCTCATATAGCATAACAGTTGGCAGTTATTGCAGTGGATGTATTTGTATAAGTCAGTTCTTGGTTTCGGATGGTGTCGGGTTGGGTGATATTCAGATTTTGACAGTTTTACAGTCTCCTCATTACACTGTGGTGTATGGTAATACTGTCGCTAATTTTAGCCACGAGTCTGTCTGGTCTCGTCGCCCAAATCTGCAATTGATGTCCGTTTACCTTTTTTTTTAACCAAGTCCAAATGTATTATTAATTGTACTTTTGCTGAAAAACATGTGCACCCCCCCCCCCAAGAAAAAACCCTGCAAATTTTATAATAATAACAGTAGTGCACTTTTATGTGCTTTATCTACATCATATGTTGTCCAAAGCGCTCTTTTGAAGAAATACATACATGGTAACAACCATGCAGCACCAACCTCTGGTTTAAATTACCTTATTTTCCAGACTATAAGGCACTTCGGAGTATAAGGTCCACCTTCAATGAATGGCCTATTTTAAAACTGTTTTCATATATAGAGTGCGCTGCATTAGAAGAGAAGCTACAATAGTGGCTGCGGTTGTATTATGCATCCACTAGATGGAGCTACACTAAGGGAATACAAAACAATACAATACAGCTTTATTTATATCAAGCTTTTGCAGCCGCTACAGCTGGAACAAAGCGCTTTACAGAATACTTTAAAGGCCACGTCCAAGAAATCATAATATTGATCCATGTATAAGATGCATCGGATTATAAGGCGCACCTTCGGCTTTTGAGAAAATTGAATGCTTTTAGGTGCGCATTATAGTGCGGAAGATACGGTACTTCAACCTCCAGGATCCCTCACCGTAAACTGTCAAACCGCAGAACACAGTGTGTTCTTGCATCCATCCATCCGTTCTTTTTCTGTCGCATTCATCTTTTTGGATTTATTTTACATCTAATTGCCTGTCCTTAAGCTGCTATCTCACTATCGAAGCTTCTCGGAGTATTTTCGTCTCCTCTCCGGCATAGAAATGGCCAAACTCCCTTTGTATGCCGCTGTGAGATGCCAGCAGACAAAGGTATTAATAAACTCTCGCTGGGCTTCAGTGATTGCTTAAGAGTTGCATTTAATGCTCAATAGCTGGCAACTCCGGGTAAGCTTGCTTAAAGGTAGCCACTAGCTGGGCTTCACACGACGCATGTGATCTTGAGTCTCTTCTTTTCGCTCTTAACTCACTTCGTTCTTTGGTGATTTTGATTCAGATTGGTTTGTTACAAACATCAGACATACATCTCGAATACAAGCCACATGTCATTTTATTTTGTCACTTCAACATACCAGCAACTCAGACTGAAGGCGCCATTCATCAATATCTATGCGTCGATGGCAGCCTGGCTAAAATCTACGTATTTTGCTTACTTTTTTCCCAGCCATCGTCAACCCGTAGCATTTCTCAATGTCTTGCAAAGCTTGGCAACTTGTTGCGCTCTTGGCGTTTGAACAAACAACCGAAAAAAGATGCCACATTGCAGTAGTTGCATCTGGTGAACCATGATTGTTGTTACCCGTAGCCTTTGGGGCTGTGATGTCACTTTCAAATGGCAGTACAGGACATACTGGCCCTGAGATGGATAAAAAGGGGTGGATTGCTCGACTAGATTAATATTCCCCAGGTGCAATCATAGTCAGCATAAATGAAGGAATTCTGTTGACACTTTTATTTGCTGTGTCAGGTGGAGGCCCCGTTCATACCAAAGTGCAGAGGCCCTGGGGACACCAGCAACTTTGATGACTACGACGAGGAAGAGATCCGCGTCTCGGTCACGGAAAAATGTGTGAAGGAGTTTGCCGATTTTTAGGGACGGAACAGAACGGGACCTGCCACAACAGGATATGTCAGGGAAATAAAGGGATCTTTGCACTCTTCTGACGACTTGGAAAGTAAGCAGAGATGACATTTCATCGCACCGTCCTATTCTTCCCACTTGTACCACACACAGCTCAATGAGGTTGCCATGATCTTTTGGTGCCGATAACCTCTCACTGTCACCTACATCTGCACATTAAAGCAGACTCACCACCTTTTTTTCCCCTTTTTTTTGAAGTCCACTTTTTATTTTGTCCTTTTTAAAGGAGGGCAGTGGTCTTCACCCCCTTTTTAAATAGACAAAGAGAGGACACAAGGGATGGACTCGTGTTGCATTCGTGGCCCGGTAAGGGGAGGTAGCAACTGTCATTTGTCCTTGTTTTGTGAGATACAAAGTTTTTAAGAGGGCGACTGATCAGAGTTTTTCTTTCTTTGCTTTTTGCCTCAGAAAGAATGAGAGCAAACACATCACCCTCGGTATTCCCAACGCCTCGCGCTGAGAATAAGAAATCTTATTACATTATTACACATACATTGTTACTCTGGTTTTTGTCCCAGTGTCTACTATATTACTTGTGTTTTTACTGTATTTTGTTTTCTTCCCTAGAATTCAGGTCTGTTTCGAACAGACTTCTTTGTTACAACACAATGTGACTGATCTATATTGAAAGAGTGAAAAGAAATCCTTTTGGGATTTTCGAAATGTATTCTAAGAGGTGAGAAGGCCGATGTGAATAGTGTTGAAGCGTTGCGCCTCGGTGTGTTTAGTAAAAGAAATACAGACTCTATCATTTATTGATTTTGACAATTTAATTAACAACATGAAAACACAGCTGGCTTTCTTTGTTCCCACCCATGAAGGATTGATTCTGTTTCATTCAATTTTTTTCAAGGACAGTGGATTGCAAAATTATTAGTTGTGCATATTTGAATGCTTGGATTTCAAGGTACTGTTTTCCTCACCTCAATACACTGGCTTAATGAAGAACTGCTCCTTTGTATCACATGTAAGCCCTGTTCTTGTTCAGCTCATTACATTATACGTATATGCATTGTTTCATATGTTTTTATTTATAAACATTAGAGATGCTATTAAATTTTATTTTTAAAAGTGTTGAATTTGTGAAAGTGCCCTTACTTGGATCAATATCACCATAATCAATTTGTATTAAAAAGCATTTAGCCTGAAAAATGTTCACTCAATCAGTGCCGTACTATTGTGTATGGTTTGTCTATTTTGACTTTCCGGAGCCATTCCCGCGAAAGGCAGTATGGGTAATATAGTGCTGCAGCAGGCACATGTCATCCTTTCGCTGTTTTGTTCTGTGTGGAAACATGGCGGGCTTGGAGTTGCTGTCTGACCAAGGCTACCGTTTGGATGGACGCAAAGCCTCCGAACTTCGCAAGGTTCAAGCCCGTATGGGTGTGTTCGCTCAGGCCGACGGCTCTGCGTATTTAGAGCAGGGAAACACCAAAGCCTTAGCGGTCGTGTACGGTCCGCACGAAGTAAGTAGCACTGGATGTTAGCCCGATGCTAACTTTCACTAACGGTAAATCGGAGCATATCGTTAATAAGAAACTTAAATATCAGAAATATCCATAAAACGCTTACATTTTTCGTGATGAAATAACTAATATTCCGTAGAAATCCGTAATGTTAACGTATGTAATAGAAACATTTATAATATTTCTAAGTATTGTGGTTTATGTTACTATTAATAAATACATATTGTATATTTCCAACGTTATAAGCTTATACATTATACAATTGCACCTGTAAATCTACATTTGTTTAATCATACATAATTATTTAAATCTATCCAATATATTGAATGACTACTATTTGCGAATATTAATTTACATAATATACGAAGTTAATATCTAAAATTATTATTCACCTTTATACAGTATTTACGCCTAATTATTTGGTTGTGTGTGTATGTATATTTACATACAAACACACACACGTGTGTGTGTATTAACTTTTAATACACCATCTATCAGTACTCAATCGTGACATTAAGAAATGTGTATAATTAGATAAATTTTCCATCTTTTGGAAGTGTGTAAAATATACAGTACTCATGCATCGTTCTCCTTCAGATGCGAGGGTCCCGCAGTCGAACCCTTCACGACCGGGCTGTCATCAATTGCCAGTACAGCATGGCCACTTTCAGCATGTCAGAGAGGAAGCGGAGGCCGCACGGTGACCGCAAGTCCACCGAGATGAGCCTCCACCTCAAGCAGACGTTTGAGGCCGCCGTGATGACGCAGCTCTATCCGCGCTCTCAGATAGACATTTACGTCAAGGTGAACGTACTCCAGTGGGATGTTGTTTTGTATTTTACTTCTGAAGGTGAAATGCACATTTTTTTCATTGTTGTATTATGTATTGTGCATGTTCACAGGAATCACAGTTCAGACCTGACTTTGACAGAGTTGCATTTGATATAAACTATATGATGTATAAATAGAGA